CTGAGTATGGATGGATTGTTTTCTCAAACGCCTTGTGTAATTAAGTGAGGTTGACTCGCGGGTGACGTCCCTTAATTATACGGCGGTTGTACACGCGCTTGGATTGCGGTCTGGGGCGTGACACACTCACCTTCACAACTTCCTAGAAAACAACTTGCTCATTTCACTGCCCAGAATACTGTCCAGTTTTCTGTTAATCAAACTTCTTGTTTCTAAGCATCAACGTGATATATCTTGTAGGTCCGAATCATTCATACTTATGTATTTAGTCTGCTCAAAAAGATTAAACAATGTCAAAGGTCATAGTTCATTTTTGTGTCCCTAAACATTGATCCCGTAGCCTCATTCAGCAGCCTACTCCTAAAGTGTCAGTTGCCAGCTCCAGTAATTTGGCAGCCTGCTCCTTCAAGTTTCGGCAGCCTGCTCCTTGAGACAACTGATTCTGGCAAACACATTTGCGTCTTGTTTAATCCATCTCTCTCTCTCAACAAAAAAGGTCATAACCTTTGTTACCATAAAGTGTCACACTATTGAGATCAAGACTTCCGCTGTAGGTTTCAATATCTCTCAAATGATATTGAAACTCATTCTGTAAGAGGAAAAAGGATTGAAAATGAAAAGATTTAAAAGTCTATTCACTCCCCCGCCCAAGATTTTTACTTCACTTAATTGGGACCATTAGACTTGTAATTAATAAATCGTCCATCCCAAAACTTTGTGACCTCAATAGTTAATGGATTGGCAACTTGAGCATAATGATTTAGTTAGTCATTTTTTTTTGTCATCTATTATTTTATTTATCTGCATTGAAATGTTAAATATTTAATAGTATTGCTTAGTTGTGCCATAAACTTTAATTTTTTTAGCATTCATTATATTACTTCGTTGATATTTACATATCGGTACTATCTTTAATTTCTTAGAGACACTTTTTCACACGAAAGTTTGTTAAATTAATGCCATTAAAAATGACTTATCACCTTAAGTATTTTCAATGATGAAAAATAATATATGTAATGTCATTGTCATCATAAATAGTTTATAAGTGATGAAAAAAGTGGTAACTAAAGTAACTTTAATTAATAACGAATGTTTATAAACATGACAACATAAGTACTTAATTATGACGATCTGTTCATCATCATAAGTCAAAAAAACCATAAAAAATATATCGAGGATTGTCACTATACACAATGTTTTGTTGACAATTTAAAATTTTGTCATTTATTGTGTGAATTGTTGGTGACAAAAATAAGAAACTGAATTATGACGATTTTGTCACCGTTCGAAGTCAAAATTCAGAAAATATATTGGGGATTGTCACTATATGTTACGGAGTATGTTTTGTTCACAATTTGAACTTTTGTCATTTAATGTGTGATTTATTGGTGACAAAATACGCTTTTAGATGACAAAAATCGATATAAAAGTGACACATTAACTTTTTGTCACGAAAAGTTATTAAAATTAGTGACAAAATGTTAAAACGTCATTAAATGTTATTTATTTGGTGACGAATCAAAAATTTATCAATAACTTATTTTCTCAAATTCTCAGCTTTTGGTTTTAAAAATAACTTATTTACCAAACACTACCAATTTTTTACTTTTCTCGGCTTTCGTGTCAAAAGTGCTTTACCCCTTTTTATACACCAAAAGCACTTATTTTACCAAACTCTACCAACTTTTTACTTTTCAAAATCACTTTTTTCTCAAACACTATCAACTTTTACAACTAATCACTTTTTCCAAATCATCCCAAAAGTGCTTTTTTTAAGCAGATGTTGTTGCAAACACTCCCTAAGCTACGATGACGCTCACTGTGACGCCCATCATTTGTCACATAAAAGTTTTAATGACATAAAATGATTTTTACGCGGGAAAAAAATTGCCACATTATATCGAAATTCATTTGAAAGTATGGATTAGGGCTGGGCTCGGGCCAAGTCGGGGGCGGGTAATGCAAAATAAAATGGAAACGCCGGTTCTATTGTACGGTTTGGTCAGGTCCGGGTATTACAATTTTTAAAATAGGAACCAGAAATTACCTGGCCTGTTTGAAACGGGTCGGTCCGGTACGGTCCGGATTTTACGGTTTCTATTCTCATGTCTTGAAATTAGTAAAAAACTCACGAAGTTCCAAAAATCAATAATTAATACTCCCTCCGGTTCTAAATAAACTTCGCACTTTCCTTTTTGGAACGGTCCAAAATAAACTTCACACTTTCTTATTTCTTTATTTGGCAAAGAAATATATGACGAGCACTTTGTCGTGAGTGCACTCAAAATAAATTCAATACTAACATTTATACGTAGTATAGCGTAGTAGAGTTCGTATCCACAGGGAAAGGAATAATTCTCTTTTTATAGAACTAGTAAATAAAAGGGGGGTTTAGGATTGAATGATTTAATTTAATTAAACAGAAAGATGAACAACTTAAATGTGATTTAATTCAAAGATAAAAAGGACTTGGCATTGCTACTTTCCACTTGTTGATATATTTTAGTCGATCATTGATATATCTATAACTTATCCCCTCTCAAATACTCAATCGAGGAGTATATCCAATTCATCGAGAGTAGTTATTAACAACGACCGTTCATTAATAACCCTTACTATTAGTCAAGTATAGAACACCGCCATATACCGACTTAATAGTAGCATTTAATCTCTTAACTCCTTGATGAAATCAATTGAGATTGATAACCTCAACACAACGGTTTCGGTTTAACCAACAAAATTAATCCCTCTTAAGTTTATTAACCACGACCGTGCATTAATAAACCAAAGTTACTTACTTGTGAAACCATCAACGATTAACCATCGGTTCGTTGATCATTTCTAGTAGTAATTAATGTCGAGATGTTAACTAATTGTCATCTTAGCAACACTCCCCAACATTAATATAGAGATAGATTAAGGGAATAATTAATATTCAAGGAAGAAGATTAAATATGAATAATCCTACTATAACTAATGTCAAGATGTTATCTAATTGTCATCTTAGCAACACTCCCCAACATTAATATATAGAGGAAGAAAATAAATACTACTATAACTAATGTCGAGATGTTAACTAATTGTCATCTTAGCAACACTCCCCAACATTAATATATAGATAGATTAAAAGAATAATTAATATTCAAGGGAAGAAGTTAAGAAAATAACTCACAACTTTAATAATCAACAAACTTCAAGAGCAACACCAAGAAATGGAAGTTTAGCTCCTCATTTGGAGACTAAACATGCTAAAAAAAATATAAAAGAAATACTATTCTAAGTTGAGCTTAAGAGTATGGAAGAAGGAGTGATTCTTTGTGAAGGAAAATGGGGCTATTTATAGGTGTTTTTCAACACCTTGGGCCGGGTACCCGACCGGGTTAGGTGCTTACCCGACCGGGTCCGGTCAAAATCAGATATCCTTCACGTTCTGGCGATCTTCGGCACGTTCTGGTGTCCCGGGTCAAGTCTGACCCGACCGGGTCAAGTAGGGGACCCGACCGGGTCTGATGATTTTCCAGGCAGTTTCGGATTTTACATCAGACCCGACCGGGTGCATGGTCTGACCCGACCGGGTTTGTGCTCCTGGGCACACTTATCACCTTTTTCTTCACTTCAAAGTCCTCCTTTTCAACACCCTAATTCCTAACTCTACTTTACAACTTACAAATGAAGATTAAAATACAATTACAACTAAAATCACACAAATGTTTACAAACTAAATAAAACGGTAAACAATCCACACAAATCAAACATAAAAACATACACTTATGCACTACTAATTAGTGCATATCAAACACCCCCACACTTGAACCTTTACTCGTCTCGAGTAAACCAAATCCAGTCCAAGAAGTCCTTAAATTGACAAGAGTATCAACACCAACATCCACGTGTGTTTTTAGAACAACACAAAAAATATCCCCCAAAATATAACAGTAAAGAGGGGTCTTTAACTCCATATTTCTTATCAACCTCATTTTTTTTCGTTACCCTTAGGATCCTGCAGAAAAGAAAATACTTTCTCTCATTCTCTCATTTTGCCTAGGTGCCCTTTCGGGTTTTCATCCCAGCTTCCCACATTTTTCTGTTTCAATCCTCACAACTCACTCTTATTTTTGCTTTATTTTTGCTTAAGTTGCCCTTTCAGGTTTTCAACTTAACAAGCTTTTTTTTTTTTTTTAAAACAAGAATAAAGAGTATGAATGTGAAAATTCCATAAAACTCTCCCCCCAAGCTAATCAAAGCACTGTCCCTAGTGCTTGTGTATGAGATGAATGCGTTTTTTTTTTGGTACTTTTGGGAGGTTTTGTTGGTGATTTGTGGGTGTGGAGATGAAGAGGGTGAAGAGGAGATGAATGAATTGGGTTTACTTGATGCATTTGGTGGATGGATGTAGGAGATATGAAGCTTTGGACTCTTGGAAATGGAGGAAATTTGGGGTTCGGTTCGAATGGGGAAAAGAAAGTGAGGAAGAAAGCTGCCCGCCCACCTCCTGATCGGGATTTTTCCCGACCGCCCGGCCGGGTATAGTGAATGACCCGGTCGGGCGTAAACTGTTCACCCGAGGCAGAGAGTTTTTTTTGCAGGGTTGCCCGGCCGGGTACCCGGTCGGGGTGTGTCTATTTTTCTCTGTTCCTTAGCTGCCTCGCCCGGGCGAGTTGTGCGGGTATGGTATTTTTACGCTATACCCGACCGAGTGTAGTGTGGTATCCGGCCGGGTATGTTCCCCAGGCTTCACTTTTTTTTTTTTTTTGAAGTGTAAACTTAAACTAGAACAAAAAGTAAACGTACCTTACATGGGTTGCCTCCCAAGAAGCGCCTCGTTTAACGTCGCGGCACGACGCCATCATTGTGTTCAATCGTTGAAGCTTGGATGGTGATAATTCATCTTCTTCACATTTTCACTCCTAGGACTTACATAGGAATGCTCAATTTTCCGACTCTTCACTTTGAAAATCTTTCCAGGATCAAATATCCAGATTTTCATTGATTCATGTGGGAGGGAGGGGAAGAAACTATCGTTTAGCATGGTCAATGAAAAGTTTTTCGACCCCTCAATTTTGAAGAAGATTTCGGAAATGTCATTGTCCTTTTCAAGTTTATGAGTTTCTCTTAAAGCTTCCAGAAATGATGGAGATACCTCAAAGGATGACAATGACAAAAATTTGAATTTGAAGCTCGGCTTATCCTCTTCTTTGACCAGTTGGAGCTCCGTATCTTTTACTTCTTCTACTTCTTCTGGATTCTGGATCTCCTTTTGCATTTCCTTTTCATTTGTCAATGTGATTGCAAAAGTTTGCTGTTTAGGATCACATTCTATTTGAGAAGGAAGTTTTTCTGAATCCCTTGCTTCAAGCCTACTCACGGCTCCGGCTATTTGAATCATTTGAGTTTCCAAGTTTGAAATGCTAGACTTGGTCTCATTTTGGAATTGCACCATGTTGTTTTGCATGGTGGTCATGTTGGTAGCAATAGCCCGGACCATATCCTCTGTAGACATGTTAGAGTTGGAGAACGGATCATAACTCATGTGAGGTGCATCCCTTTCGTAACCAACATCATCAATTTGTTCAAGGTATTCATCTTGGAGCTTTGGGCAGAAATCCGTAAAATGCCTGTGAGACATGCAAATGTTGCATGTCTTGGCATCTTGAGCTTCCGAGTTTAAGATAAATCCCTTTATTAGAGAAGTCAAGAAGGAAATTTGACTCTCTAAGGATGATATGTTGGCATCCATATACTCATAACTCATGTAAGCTCAGAAAATAGAAGAGTAAGATTTTTTTTTTTTTAAATTTTTATTTATTTTTATTTTTATGAGATAAAATAAAAAGAAAAATAATTGCCTTTCCCCGGCAACGGCGCCAAATTTGACGAGCACTTTGTCGTGAGTGCACTCAAAATAAATTCAATACTAACATTTATACGTAGTATAGCGTAGTAGAGTTCGTATCCACAGGGAAAGGAATAATTCTCTTTTTATAGAACTAGTAAATAAAAGGGGGGTTTAGGATTGAATGATTTAATTTAATTAAACAGAAAGATGAACAACTTAAATGTGATTTAATTCAAAGATAAAAAGGACTTGGCATTGCTACTTTCCACTTGTTGATATATTTTAGTCGATCATTGTTATATCTATAACTTATCCCCTCTCAAATACTCAATCGAGGAGTATATCCAATTCATCGAGAGTAGTTATTAACAACGACCGTTCATTAATAACCCTTACTATTAGTCAAGTATAGAACACCGCCATATACCGACTTAATAGTAGCATTTAATCTCTTAACTCCTTGATGAAATCAATTGAGATTGATAACCTCAACACAACGGTTTCGGTTTAACCAACAAAATTAATCCCTCTTAAGTTTATTAACCACGACCGTGCATTAATAAACCAAAGTTACTTACTTGTGAAACCATCAACGATTAACCATCGGTTCGTTGATCATTTCTAGTAGTAATTAATGTCGAGATGTTAACTAATTGTCATCTTAGCAACACTCCCCAACATTAATATAGAGATAGATTAAGGGAATAATTAATATTCAAGGAAGAAGATTAAATATGAATAATCCTACTATAACTAATGTCAAGATGTTATCTAATTGTCATCTTAGCAACACTCCCCAACATTAATATATAGAGGAAGAAAATAAATACTACTATAACTAATGTCGAGATGTTAACTAATTGTCATCTTAGCAACACTCCCCAACATTAATATATAGATAGATTAAAAGAATAATTAATATTCAAGGGAAGAAGTTAAGAAAATAACTCACAACTTTAATAATCAACAAACTTCAAGAGCAACACCAAGAAATGGAAGTTTAGCTCCTCATTTGGAGACTAAACATGCTAAAAAAAATATAAAAGAAATACTATTCTAAGTTGAGCTTAAGAGTATGGAAGAAGGAGTGATTCTTTGTGAAGGAAAATGGGGCTATTTATAGGTGTTTTTCAACACCTTGGGCCGGGTACCCGACCGGGTTAGGTGCTTACCCGACCGGGTCCGGTCAAAATCAGATATCCTTCACGTTCTGGCGATCTTCGGCACGTTCTGGTGTCCCGGGTCAAGTCTGACCCGACCGGGTCAAGTAGGGGACCCGACCGGGTCTGATGATTTTCCAGGCAGTTTCGGATTTTACATCAGACCCGACCGGGTGCATGGTCTGACCCGACCGGGTTTGTGCTCCTGGGCACACTTATCACCTTTTTCTTCACTTCAAAGTCCTCCTTTTCAACACCCTAATTCCTAACTCTACTTTACAACTTACAAATGAAGATTAAAATACAATTACAACTAAAATCACACAAATGTTTACAAACTAAATAAAACGGTAAACAATCCACACAAATCAAACATAAAAACATACACTTATGCACTACTAATTAGTGCATATCAATATACATCAAAACAGTGTTAAACAGTGCTAAACAGTGTCAAACAGTCTCTCAACAGTGCCAAACAGTGTCTCAACAGTGTACTCTACAGTAAAGTCAACTTTATTTCCTTGATAACTGTGAAGTCAAACACTGAAGTTTAAAAAGAACCAGAGGGAGTAATATATGACATTAGCAAGTTTCAAAATAACAACATAGTTGTGCACATGTAACACAAGCGACAAGTCCAATACTCCATAATTTCATGCAGTGGAGGAGCTAGGGGGGGGCAAGGGGGGGCAAGCGCCCCCGCTCCGACCAATTTTTTTTACTAGTATTACTTATAATATGTTTCTTGCCCCGGCTTCTTTTTTTAAAAACAATAAGTACAACTTAAGGTTATTTTAAGATTAAGTGTTAATTCTTCAATTGTTCCTAATCAGTCTATCTCCGGTGTTGGAAATGCCACTACGTCAAATGAAAATATTGCTAGAGATGAGAGGAATGAGAGGGACAAGAGAGCCCGAACAGAAAGTACACATGAATGGGATATTATTAGTGATCCATTTTTACGAAAACCAATTAATGAATATGCGCCGGGGGTTAGGGATGATGTGATGAGAGCATATGTTGTTAAAGGTGCTTGTCAACCTGCATCTCATAAGTTTCCACGAACTGAATTTGAAAAGTCATTAAGGAGCTTTCGAGGAGAGTGGTTTAAAACTTGGGAATGGTTGGAATATAGTATTTCTGAAGATGCTGCTTTCTGTTTTTGGTGTTACCTTTTTCATGGGCAAGAAGGAAAGCGATTTGGTGATGATATGTTTGTGAGGACCGGATTCCGTAACTGGAAGAAGTCTCCTCAGTCTTGCAGAGTTGTATTCATCTGATTTTTCAGTTGTTGAGCAAATGGAGCTTAAAGAACAACTCCAAGTTTGGATATATGAGATGAGAGGGAATGAAGCATTTTCCACTTTATAAAGTATTGGTGAAGTGTCTAAGAAGATGGTTAAGCTTACAATTCACAAATCTTTTCACTTGGTCAATCGTTTTATTGAGTTGGCTCTAGTGTTACCAGTTGCAACAACCACAGTTGAAAGAGCTTTCTCAGTGATGAATATTATCAAGACAGATCTTCGCAATAAGATGGGAGATGACTATCTTACGGATTGTTTAGTATGCTACATCGAAAGAGGCATTTTTCAAGCAATTGATAATGAAGCTATTATGCAACATTTTAAAAATATGAAACTCGTAGGATTGATTTGCCTATGTTGCAAAAGTAAATCAAGTAGCATGTAATGAACTATAATTTTTTTGCTAATTAATTACGCCATTGTTGTTCTTATTATATTTTGGACACGCACTTTAAAATTTTTAGTCTTCAGTTTGCCCCTCCTTGGACAAACCTCTGGCTCCGCCACTGATTTCATGTATATAAGTTTCAAACAATTAAAGAAATTCTAAAAATATGCAACATAGCCAAAATACATATTTTCTAACATTTGTATTTAAACATGTTGTCTAACATCAAATATTAAAGTGATTGTTTTTTTTTATATTAAATTTTCAGTATTAGCCAAAGTTGACATATACATGGTGGGTGGTAAACACAATTTATATATTTTAAGAACAATAAAACTAAAAAAAATATAACAAAATCATTTTTAACAAATAATTAAATTCCATAGAAAGGAATACTTCAATAACAATAAAAAGTAATAAGATATTTATGAAACATTTAATCAATAATTTGAAAACAAAAGGATGTTACTGCAACTCAATTTAAAATCCTACTTCTAGCAAAGGAAACAAAACTATTTCAAAACCGATTATCACAAAACTATTAATAAATTAATATACAATATATATAACGGGCCGGGTACCCATTATTTTTTAATTTTGGAACCGGTCCGGTTCCTTAAAAACAATTACCCGACCTTACCCGGACCGTTTTAAAGCAACAAAAAATGGAACCGACCTGTTTTGGACCCGAACCGCCATTACCCGGACCGGACCGCGGTTCCAAGACCCGTTTGCCCACCCCTAATATGGATCTTTCAAAAAGTGCAATTAGGACGACGTATCAATTCCTAATCATGCTTTTCCCAATTCATTTCTGTAAATGTTGTTTCAATTGAAAGAATCGAGATGCTATTTCCTTCGGTGTGGTAAACCATGTTCCGCATGGGATGCGACCAGATGCAATTGGACCTTTGTTCCTACATTTATGTTTGTGGACCTGCATTTCTGTAAATGTTGTTTCAATTGAAAGAATCGAGATAATGAATCATTTTATTAAAAAAGAATATATACAAAAGTCGAACATATTTTTGAATAGGAAAGTTGCACTTTTAATCCCTCAGATACTATCGTATGTCTCACGTCTCTGAAATTGTAAATGTTACGTTCGAATTGACAGATACTATCGTATGTTACAAATTAAATAGTATTCCCGTTGACTTTATTGGTAGTCCAGAATTGGAGAAATTTATAAACTGCGGGATAACATTTACAACACATCTATCAATTTGGAAGTGACATTTACATTCTCGGATCTGACATTTCAATATGATGACTAAGGATGTTTTTACTTGGACTGTAATTTGCCCCAGACCAGACCAAACCAGTCCAGACCAGACCAGACCAGTCCAGACCAGACCAGACCAGTTCAGACCAGACCAGACCAGACTTGGATAGTTATAAAAATACAAAGAAACCAGACCTTACCAGACCAGACCAGACCAGTTCAGACCAAACCAGACCAGATCAGACCAGACCAAACCAGCAAATTACAGTCCAAGTAAAAACATCCTAATAAATGGATCAAAAGTACCATTTTCCAAAAGTACTCCTTATGCATATCTCCTTCTAATGATCTTACGGTTGCCTTTGGCACGTTGTTTTAAAAAAAGTACTCCCTCCGTCCCAAATTGTATGATACTTTACGGTTTAAGATGTTTGACCGACGATAAAGCAAATTGATCCCTGACAACACTCAAATTAGTTTTAGAAAATAAAATATACATATTTAGAAACTACATTAAAATCGCTACAAAGCCTGCAAAAAACAATTCCAATTTCTTAAACTTTTGATATATAAAGTAAAAGACTAAGAGTGGTTTATGTTGACCAAGTGAATAGTAAATGTATCTTACAAATTGGGACTGAGGGAGTAAATTTTAGAGCATGCTTTCCCATATTACCCTTGTTGGTATAATTAAACATTTTTATCACTTTCGGTCTTTTTCATTCTAAAGTCACTACTTCTTTAGGGAGTGTTTGCGATTGTTTGTGCTTTTTAAAAGTGATTTTTTTAATAGATTATTGGAAAAATAATTTATAGTAAAAGTAGGTAGTGTTTGGGAATAGTGTTGGGATTGGAAAATTCTTCTATTCAATATCAAGAACAGAATTACAATAGGAGGAGCAAACTCTCACACTCAACTATTACAAAAATCAATCCTCACCAATACACTTCTACTCTAAGTGTATTTTCACTCTTCACACACTTTTCTCACTTTCTAAACTGATACTATGAACAACAATGGAGCACTCTATTTATAGGACTAGTTTGGAGACAAGAGGAAGTTGCATCCAAGCTTCCAAGGTATCTCCATATCTTCTCCCACACCTATTTGTTGGAGAGCTCTTTCCAAGAAGGTGCCTCCATGTTAAGGTGTCTCTTGGCAACTTCCAAGAAAGAAGGTGGAAGATACCTACAAATCTCCCCCTCCACCTTTTTCTTTATTTCTCTCGTTCCTGCGATGCTCGCAGGCTCCCCCTCGCTAGCAACAAGTATCCATTCGGATGTGGAATACTTTGTCTGTGGAACTATGCCTCGCATAGAACGTCGAACATGAGTACCTTCAGCTTCGTCTTCAGATGAAGGCTCCCCCTGCTGAGGAATATCATCACTGTGAGTACCATCATCACCTACTAAACCATCACTCTTGTTCAGTAGTATCATGCATCTCCTCGTCGCTGAGAGGAATGTTTAATGATACAGGCACTTCGTCTTCTAGAGTATGTTGTTGGCGGATTATTGGAACACACCCATGAAACTCGTTTTCATGAAATACAACATCTCTTCTTCGTACAACTTTCTTCACTTCGGGATCCCACAACCGGTATCCAAATTCTTCATCACCATAGCCGATGAAGATATATGGGTTTGACTTGAGATCAAGCTTCTGTCTCAACTCCTTGGATACATGTGCAAATGTCTTGCACCCGAACACTTTCAATTGAGAGTAAAAAACATCTCTTCTTGACCATTTCTTCTCTGGCACTTCAAAGTTTAAAGGAACAGAAGGTGACCTGTTTATAAGATAACAAGCTGTCAGCACAGCTTCACCCCAGAATGGCTTAGGTAGTTTAGCCATACTCAACATGCAACGAACTTTCTCCACAATGGTTCGATTCATTCTTTCGGCTACACCATTGTGCTGTGGAGTTCGTGGAACCGTCTTCTCATGTCTGATTCCATATGCGGCGCAATATGCTGAGAACTCCCGGGAAGTGTACTCTCCTCCATTGACTGAACGTAGACACTTTAGCTTTTTCCCCGTTTCTCTTTCTACCATGGCATGGAATAATTTGAAGCGATCAAACACTTGATCCTTACACTTTAAACAATAAGCCCATACCTTTCATGATGCATCATCAATGAATGTCACGAAATATCTGCTTCCTCCAAGTGACTCCTCTTCAATGGGTCCACATACATCAGAGTGTACAAGACTGAGTAACTCTGAATGGTTCTTCCTGGTAGAACTGAAGGAAACCCTGTGTTGTTTCCCGAATAGACAATGCTCACATGGATCTAGGGCAACACCTTTGCCCATGGAAATGCTTTCCTTCCTAGCAAGAGTTGTCAATCCCTTCACGCTCAA